CAAAAACACTGTATTTTTCTAAGAAAACTAAATACAAAAGCATACAAAGGTATACACATTCATTTCATAAACATCTTTAAATTACATACTTTTGGTTCTTAGTTCAATCTTTTTTTGTGTATTTATTTGGATGAAAGCTAAGGACAGATTTAAACATGGGGTTCCACCCAACTTAGAAGTGATTACCTTAGTGTCAATTTTAATCCAGAAAATAACACTATCACACATTTGACGACCTCAGCACTGGAACAACACACACACAAAGACACACAGAGACACACACACACACAAAATTTACTGAAGATCAAAGGTAATGGAAGCTCTGTAAGTTCCGAGGAAAGGACCCAGGCGAAGGCCATACAGGAACAACACAAAGCAGCTGTCAGTACACACAATAGGCATGGCTGCAATTTGTAGCAACTACAAATACCTAAAAAACATATTTTAAACAAGAATCTACCTTATCATACTTAACATGGTTTACAATATTGTTTTGGATAGGCATACACAGCATTGTTTATACATTCATCCCTGGGTCTTTAAAAGTTGTAGTGTGGCGTAGCAGCAGTCTGGTAAGCTGTATACATTTAAGGCCTTGGATTATGAGAAGGGTTGTACGGTGCTGGCTGAGGGTCCTCTGAATATGGTGGCGGTGCAGTAGCCTGGCTTGGAGGTTGCAGAGGGTACATTGGCTCCCCGGTGAACAGCACTGAGTGAGTAGGATTGGCTGAAAAGACAAAAGAAACTGATTTTCTATGTTTATATTGTTATTGATCAAATTATTCTTTCTAACTCATTAGGCCATATGAACATTTTAATAGTAAATGGTATGAAGAGTCAACAAATTTAATAATTTTTTTTATAACTGTGTATTGATCCATGTAACAGCACAAAGAAGCGTGCTGTCTAATAGATCAAATGGACCATCAGCTCCCTCTTGTTTTTAAAAAAATTAGTCAGAAATTGTGTGAAGTAGCAACACTTTTATGTTAGTGCCAATCAGATGATGCTGTCAAATTTACGCTCACTGACCACTTTATTAGGTACACCTGTTCAACTGGTGACTAATGCAAATCTGTAATCAGCCAATCACATGGCAGCAACTCAACGCGTTTAAGCACGCCGTATTTCAGAAACTACTGATCTATTGGAACCATCTCTAGTGTTTACAGAGAATGACCGGAGTGCTTTGAGCTGACAGGAAGGAAACAATAGCTGAAATAACCAGTTGTTACAACCAAGAACGTCTCTGAATGCAGAGCATGTTGGAACCTTGAAGCAGATAAGATAACCTTGAAGCAGAAGACCGCACCACTCGTCTCGGCTAAGGAAAGGAAATGTTGACTACATTTCAAACAGACTCTGCAAAACTGAACAACAGAAGCTTGGAAAATCGTTGTCTGGTCTGATGAGTTTCAATTTCTACTGTGATATTAAGATCAGAATTTCATGTGAACAACATGACAGCTTGGATCCATCCTGCCTTATGTACAGTTAGACTGCTGATGGTGGTGTAATAGTGTGCAGGATATTTTCCTCAGTGTTGGGAAGGTT